ATGAAGAGTGTTGCTTCCACCCTAATTGCCTTACATTTGATTGGCTGATCACTGCTGATTACATCACTGGGGTGATGACATCATTACATAAATACCAAACCACTGAGGACCATGGCCCAGCTAAGTGCACTCATATTTTGGGGCATAGAATTTAATTCATGATACATAACATGTTTTCAGGCATGTATTTTGTAGCTTTCTAAGTATTTTTAAAATTAATTTTTCTCGTATTGTAGCTTTCTGTTCTTTAATTACAAATCAATTCATTTTTTGAAATAACAGATGCACAACCAGAGACTTAAGAGCAGGTGCACATAATCCATTTTTGGATTAAAATTAGATGCTGCTTCTTGCTCTGTTCCTGTTTTAATTTCCCAGCGCTGCTTTCACAAAAATACCACAAGTAGGAGGTTTCAAAAGAGCAGATTTACACACACACACACACACACACACACGTGCACGCACTCGCTCGCTCGCTCGCTCTCTCTCTGGTTGGTAAGCTGGAATTCAGGCTTAGGGTGCCCTCTCTGGGAAAGGCTCTCCCCGGCCCTCCGGGGGCCTCCTCCTCATGGTTTCTGTAGCCCTGGCCTTCCTGGGTCCTTGACAGCTTCCCTGTGGCACCAGCGTCATGTCCCTGTGTCTGTGCTGCTTCTCATGACCCAGAAGTAAATGGTTTAAGACTCATATACACAGAGAGCCTCGTTAACATAACCAAGACGCCTGTTCCCCAACAGTATTGGAGGGACAGGAGTCAGGGGTGGGATAGTCCTGCATGTATATTCAATCTGTAACCCTTCTCACACCCTCTTGCATTTGGTACAAACTTTCAAAATACAGGAACTTAATGCTTATTGGAATAATCACTTGTTCATTCATTTATTCACTAAGAGGAACATTCTCCTAGCCCCTGGGAGTCCAGAAAGAATTAAGTTCTCCTTGGGAAGAGGAGCATTTGTGGCATGGGGAGGGTGGCGGGGAGGGTTGGCAGTTCAAACCCACCATCGTCTCCACGAGAGGAAGCAGCAGCAGTCAGCTTCTGTAATGTTTGCAACCCTGGAAACCAGTTCTCCGCGCTCCTTCATAGTGGGGGTCACCACGAATGTGAACAGATCAGGGCAATGAGTTTGGTTTGCTAGAACATTCCTTAGGGGCGTGTAGTAACTCCCAACAAAAAGCAAATAATTGCAGCATCCTTTGAGGACTGTGGAATAGGATGCTGGGGGCCACTGGTTAAAGTGCTTGGCTGTTAGCCAGAAAGAAGGTCATTGGTTCAAACCCAGTAGCCACTCAGGGAGATTGTGGTCTTTTGCTGCCATTAAGATGTCCAGCCTGGCGAACCCTTTGGGCAACTGTGCCCTGTCACATGGTGTCACCATGAGCCGGAATCAACCTGGGGACAGTGGATTTAGGAGGTTGTTTATGTTGTTGTTGTTATATGCTGTCGAGTTGCTTGCGACTCATAGCGACCCTATGTACAACAGCCCTAAACTCCGCTCTGTCCTGTGCCAATCGCACTGTCTCTGACACACTCATCCCGATTACCCCAGTCACTGAATCAATCCAACTCATAGAGGGCCGTCCTCTCCTGCGCTGTCCCTCCACCCTCCCAAGCATGATGTCCCTCTCCAAAGACCAGTCCCTCCTTACAACATGTCCAAAGTATGTCAGATGAAGCCCCGGAATCCTTGCCTCCAAGGAGCAGCCTGGTTTAACCCTCTCTAGGGTGAATCTGTTTCTTAATGAAATGAGATACTAGGGTTGCTTCTAAGGATGTTTTTGGTAAAAATAGTTTCACCCTTTCATGTTTTAACACAAATACGTTGCACCCCTTTCTTTTTGTCTCATTGTGTTATTTGCCCTAGTGGCATAGTCTGTAGTGTGTTGGGCTGTTCACCAAAAGGTCAGCCGTTCAAACCCACCAGCCAGCCATTCTGGGAGAAAGATGGGCAGTCTCCTCTTGTACAGATTACAGCCTGGGAGACCTGCTGATGGTTTGTCATCAGCAGGAAGTTTCTTACTGATTTGTTTTTCTTCCTTAATTTTCCTTAATTGATGCTTTTCTTCACATATCTCTTCCTCTCATGAGTGATCCGAAGATTGTTATTGACTGTTTTTACCCGTTGCCCAATCCCTCTGTTGGCAAATAACCAATAGACAGCTTCTCTTGAACTCTGACCTAGTGAGTGAAGCCAGGCTCACTGCCCTAAGATTAACACCCAGCAGGTGCAGCTGCTCATCGAGGCAGAGCAGTGCATGTGGGGATTTAAGCATGGACAGGGCTTCTGGATGATGGACTGTCCTCCCCTTGAAGCCTGTCCTGGTCAGGGTGTCTGGGGCAGTTCTACACAGACGGGAGTCTGGACTGGTGGAGCTCCCCTGTCTCCCGGGATTGTCGGGCATCAGTTATCAGATGTGCCTGGACCTAGTCATGCCCAGCCTCCCTAGCAAAGCTGATCCGCGGTCATTTCTGAGCTTAAGCCAAGGGGACACTCTGGAGGCCTCCTTTGTCTCACCTGTGAATGCGGGCTCTGGTCCACCCATGACTTTGCCCCTGTTTCAGATGACATCATCGCCTGCGCCCCGTCTGCATTCCTTCCTCTTCGTGGTGTTGAAATCATCCGAGTCGTTGTCTTGTTTAAGACACAGATTGTCCTTCTTTTTAAACATCTGCATTTAACAACCATATTCCCTTTAATTGTTTAATGGACTCTGGGCTGTTTCGGTTGATTTTTCTCGTGTGTGTGTGTCTCTCTGTGTGTGTGTGTGAGAGAGAGAGATAGAGATGTCAGAAAGGGGCAGCGGTGGCGAAGGGTGTTGGGGTGCGGAGGGCGGTGGCAGCAGGAGGCGGCAGCGGGTGGCAGGCATTGGTGGCGGAAAGTGTGTCCGACCCATAAGAACCAGGGTCCTGATGGCTCCCAGCTCTCCCTTGTTTCACTGTACTGGGGTCACTCCTTGATTGGAGTACACAGGTCTGTCTCTCATAAGGGTCTGTACCAACAACTGCCATAGACTTGTTTGAAGATGTCAAGTTTTCAATTTTATTGATTGGTGTTTCATGTTCCTTTATAAATCTTATCATTAATTCTCTTGGGGTTTGGAAGCATTACTTAAGACCTATATTTTGGTATACATAAATCATAGAATAAACAAATGGTCATAAATGCCTTTTTGTAGTTCAGATGTCATAAGCTCAACTTAGTACATCCCAGAAACCATGCTAAGTGCTTTATACCTGTTGTTGTTTTTGTTGTTGTGTACCATAGAGTCAGAACCGACCCATAGCTGACCCTCTGTTGGGTTTTCCTAGGCAGTTAATTGCACAGGAAGAGATTGCCCATCCTTCTTCTGCAGAGCAGCTGGTGGCCTTGAACTGCTTGCCTTGATGACTGCAGCGCAGCTTCTGGCCACGAGGCCACCAGAGCCGGTTGATGCTTTGTGAGGATCCACGGCTGTCAAGTAGATTGTGACTTAGCGCCACCTTGTGGGACAGGGTGGAACTGCTCCACAGGGTGTCCAGGGCTGTAAACATTTGCAGAAGCTGCACTCTTCTCCCTCAGACCAGCTTATGAGCTCAGCAACCCAGCGCTGAATCCACTGTGCCACCAGCGCCTCTGTGAGATAATATGACAGGGACCATCATTGTTCTTATTTTAGAGGTGAAAACATTACGGTACCCTTCTGGAGAATTTGTCAGTGGGACATTTGATTCAAACTCAAGCGAGAACTCACTCACAGCTGATGCTCCCTGAGTTTCCAGGACGGTGCATTGTCCAGAGGAGGCCACTAGTGCCGTGGAGCCACCAGAGAGCTGCAGCCTGGGTCTTGGCGCAGCTTCCTACTAAACTAGGCCCTCAGATGCTCCCCTCTCCTGGAATATGGCAGTGGGAGGATAGGAAGTTCAGGTTCCCAGGCTAGAGTCAGTCAGAGGCACCCTAACCAAGCTGTTACTGATGATCGGGGGTTGGGGGGGCAGCTGTGGTCAGATCCGCTCTCAACTTGCCCTTTCAGGTCTAGAACATGCCCATCTGGCATGGTGGAGGCTTGGTCAGCATTCACTGCCCGAGTCCATGCCACACCTGTCTTCTGCAGAGACTAGACAGGTAAAGGAGGCATTTCTCAAGACCTCCTTGGCTGCCAGGACTTTGTATGTTAGAGTTCCACGTGTGCATCAGGCGGGTTCTGTCCTGGAGTGACCAGCTACCACCAGCATCCCAACCTTAGCTCCACGGGCCATGAAGGGCAAGGAGAACATCCGTGTTAGTTATGATCGAGCCCCTGCAGCAGCAGTGATGGCCCCTGCAATCGTGGGAGGAGGACTCCTGGAAAGGAGGAGGAGGAGGAGGAGGTGGGTCATGTCAGATGAGGAAGGCTGTAGGAGGAGCAGCCGTTCTATCCTAGGTGTGTAGTTTTAATGAATGCACGTGGGGTACAAGAGAGAGGCCTGCGCTCATGGTAGGAATGTGGGCAACACTGGCTTACATTCAAGTATCAGCTAAAGCCATGACATGCACTGAGGATACTGTCAAAGCCAGAGGGAAACAGACTGAGCCTGGACACTCCTACCTTGGGTTGACTTGACAAAGGAGAAGAGCTGGGGTGGTCAGAGGGGAACCAACAGTGTTGATGATCTGGGAACAGAATGAAGCCATACCCGCCTCCTGGGTTTAAATGTGGGCGTGTGGTGCTGAGCTCCTCAGCAGCAGGGTCATTTATGTGTATATGTGTGTGTGTGTGTGTGTGTGTGTGTGTGTGTGTGTGTGTACACACGTGTGTGTGCACCTTGTTGCCCCTGGCAGCTGGCTCTCAGCCCACGCAGGAGCCACTGTTGTCTGTCTTTGAGCACAGGCTAAACCAACCCTCATAGTGTTTCCTTTCCTACCACAGCCCTCACATGGGGGATAAAGTACATAACATCTGTGTTAGCATCTCTGCTGAGTGTGTGCTTGTCCTGCATCCCTGTCCTTTGTCAACTAATTCCAGTTTTGGTGCCATTACAGGGGTCAGTGTCGTTTAGAGATGTGGCCGTGGACTTCACCCAGGAGGAGTGGCAGCGACTGGACATTGCGCAGAAGACCATATACAGGGACGTGATGCTGGAGAACTACAGCCACCTCATTTCCCTGGGTGAGGAGAGTGGCTGACATACACAGGTTGCTCTCAAACAGAATGGCTTTACCTGCTGTGGGACAGGTGTGTTCACCTCTTTTTGGCACCAGGCAGGGCGTGTTTGTATTTCCCTTCCTAAAGAAAGGTGGTAAATTTGGTAAAGCCCAGGTAGGCATGTCCGTGGTGCAGCTGGTGCAGCAGCATGTCCCTTGTGTGACAGGGACCCCAAAACCAAGCAGCAGCCTCAAGTTCTCTTCCATTTCTCACCAACAGGGCAGCCCATTATCAAACCGGATGTTATCACCAAGTTGGAACAAGGAGAAGAGCCATGGATAGTAGATGGAGAATTCCTACTTCCGAGTTATCCAGGTGTGTTAGTCGAGGCAGTGAGGAGTCTGGTAACTTGGAAGTGTTTTTCTAGGTTTTTTAAATGTTCCCAAACCTTTAGAAAATAGTTACTTGTATGCCTAGATAGCTCCATCTCCCCCTGCCTTCCTTCCCCACCAACCTTGTGTCACAGAGCTTTCCCCTGCTGGCCACGACCTGGGAAGTAGTCCTTTCCTCCTCTTCAGCCTTGGGTCTTGACTCTCTCCCAGTGGTGTTTTCAATAACTCTTTACCATTGCCTTGTTTGTAGGCTTTCCTAGGTCTGTCATAAAAGCAGTGACTTATGTGACTCTTGTGTTCTTAATTTCTTTCCTGCTTTTCTTCCCCTTACCTGTGAAATGCCTCAGAGAAGTTCCTGTCCATTTTTATGGTTCATGTCTTCCTTTGAAGTGAGATGCCAACTCTCCATTTTGTGTCTAACCTGATAAAACCTGTTCCCTTCTTTGTTGTACACTGCTCAGTGATTCTGAAATCCATTCCTGTTTGGTGACCAGTTACAGGTCTCCCTATTCCTCCTATTTGTTTTCATCTCAATTTTCTTATTTACTCTTCTGTTTCATGATTTTAAATATAACTTCCAGCCAGACTGGGTTTTCACTGTTCTTACTTATGCATTAACCACCTTCTCTGCCCCCCCAAGCATGTCTCTTGAGGACCTCTTTCTACCTTCTGTGTTGTCCTGTGAGTTGCTCAATGAGGTCCTCCAATCTCCTGCCTGAAGAGTTTCCGGATTTTGTCCTCATGCTGACCATATGCAGTTTGGTGCCTCATCTAAAAACCCCTGTCCAGCCTGTGACCTAGTCCAGTCTTCTCTGTGATAGAAGTCCAACACTCCTTCATTCTCATTATGTCTGAAATGAGATTGGTCACTTCTCTAAATGATGATTTCCCTCCTTTCCCACATCCCGTTATTTCCTGCATTTACGCTTCACCATCCTTCCCCATTGGTGACCCCTATAGAAACACCTTGAGATACCTCCTCGTGTATCACAGCTTTTGTCATGACTGTTGGCTTGTGTTCCACACGCCATGTCCTAATTTATCTTCCCTAGAGTCTCAGGTCCCTTTGACAGATGGTAAACAAAGCTTTATTTTGCTGTGGATATGTGGCTGTGAGTCCTAATGGAATTGTAAGATGTGGTTATCTTAGTCTTCAGTCAGTCTTGCTGGCAGCTTCACAAAATAAGCATATAATGATTTCTTCTTGCTCCCTACAGAAAATTGGAATTCCTTATCCTTTCAGGATCCCCACAATACGGCCCTGTTTCACCTGTCAAAATTATTTTTCTGATTTATCCCCAAACTCCTACTGAACTCTTAATGTATTATTTTCATATGATCACGGTCCCTACCGCTTTACATTTTGTTTGGGTTTTTTGCTTCCTTAGGTAACACATTAAAGTCCAAGGGAAAGTTGTTCAACTATTTGAAATCTTCCCTTCTCTTATTAGAACCCCAGTCTCTTCTTCCACTTACATTTGATTCTACCCTGTGGCGCTGCCTTAAAAATTAAGGCTTGATCACATTTGAACCTATATAATTTTTGATTGAATTTTTTCTTCTCTTGAACTAGAACCCTGTAAAGAGAAGGCACTGTCTTCCTCCTTTAGTGTATTATGCAACATAAAGTACATATTTATCTATTTGATAATTTGTTCATCCAAGTAGGTGAAAGAATCTTCTTAATTTTTTTCAGCTGTTATTTATACATACACATGCCAAGGTCTCACCTCCATATATTCTACCAGTACTTCAAATTTACCCATATACACATATCAGTTGGGTTATAAACATCATTTCCACTTGAGTTGAAAGGAAATAGAGTGATAACCTTTTATGATACAGGTTTTGTTTTAAAAGGGAACAGAGTTGTGTGAAGTAGTTTAAAGCTCAGTGTTTTGCACCAAATGTTTATGTTCCAAGTGAACCACCTTGTGCTTAAATATTATCCACAGTGTTATTTTCTCCTTTAAGGGGAAATGGAACAAAAGTCTAGAAAAAGGATTTGTTAAGGTCTTGTTTGTTAGAACATAGAACAATTGTTAATCCTAAAAACCACATTTTGAGTAGTTCAAGACTAGAAATCAACCAAATGAGTGAAACAGCACAAGCACAATGTTGTGGTTGAAAATGAGTTGGTCATTTCTTGGAAATCACTCCCTAGAACAGAAGCTACTTTTGGTAGACTAGTATGATAGCTTGGAACCAAACTGTTAATCCAGGTGGTGAAAAGTACCATTTTTCAGAATTGCATTTCTTTCTTTTTCCGTATCATGTGTTGATGTTTTGGCACTAGGCTGGGGGAAGTTGTAGATTTTGGAAGACAAGGTTGATACAGTTTTACTTACTGTAGATGATAGATTGTTGTTATTGCTTTTAGGTGTCATTGAGTTGACTACAATCCATAGCAATCTTAAAATCAACAGATTGGAACCCTGCCCTGATTACACCATCCTCATGACCTCAGGATGCTCAAATCCATCGTTACTGTCACAGTGTCACTCCATCTCGTTGAGGGTCATCCTCTCTTTCACTGGCCCTCTGTCTTTCTCATCTTGATGTCTTTTTTCCAGGAATTGATGACTCCTGATAAAATATCCAAAGTGTTTCAGACAAAGTTTCACCATCCTTATCTCCATGGTATCCAGTCTATCATGGACTGCCAAAAGAACAAGCAAGTGCAGCCCAGGCTGCTCCTTAGAAGGCTTAAAGGCAAGATGATTAGTAGCAAGAATAATAGTCAAGTACAGTCACACAATTATAAGATAAATGAAAATGAAAGTAATTGTTTTAAAGAGAGATTGTCAAATCCCAGTCAGGTTTCTATGCTAAATTAAGCACTGTTCACACTCATAGGTAATTAGAATGCTGGAGACAGAACTTTTTAAGACAATTGTAAGGAGACAGAATGGCAAAAATACTTGCTGCATTTACTGAGCATGTTATAGTATCCAAATAGTAACAGATGTAATTTAATAGAATGCCTTCAATATCAAATCATAACATCATATGAATATTTAAGATATGTGACATTTTTGAAAGGGTAGCATGTCATTTGGTCTCTTAATACTTCCTGCTGGACTTAAATGTACCTGAGGAACTAAATTGTAGACAGTCCCCAGATTGTAGGGCTATTCCTGTAAGCACTGGAGAATTTGGGTGAAGGTTCATATGACACTACTATGCAAAACAGAATGGGGTGGGAGAGATTTTTAATTAGACTGATGAAGATGCTAAAAAAATCTTAGTGTAAAATGATGAAGCCTCAGATTGTAATATCTTGGTCCAAGTTTGATATGAAGTTAAAACACATTTTCCGCTGTCTTTGTAATCCTATCAGTTTACCCTCTCTTTGCTGTGAGTCCTTTCATTTCTTTCTTGTCACCCATCCCTTCAACATCATTTGTCTGCTGACATTTCATTTGTATTTGACCTTTTATGGCCCATTTTTAACTGAATTTTACAAAGTAGCAAGAAGCAGGTACTTATGTTCTTTGTCTGTTTGCTTCCTCCCTGTTCTCATATTTCAGAGGAAAGAGAGAAGTGTGTGTGTGGTGCTAGTGGAGGAAGAGGAGGAGGTGGTGGTAGTGTGTTTATTTTACAAAAATAATTTTAAGAAGTTCAGAGTACATCTGGAATTATTTCTCTCTGTCTACAAAACCATCACTCCCCTCCCAATAAGATAAGTCCTACAAGTCTCCTGTGTTGGAAGGTGTATAAAGTTCTGTTAATTTCTCCTCTTTTTAGAAGAAGCCCAGAAAGTTGATGACATGACAGATGGAATCCAGGAAAATGAAGGTGAACTTTCAGGGCACACAGTGCCCCTCAGCAAGCCTGTGGTGGAAGAGAGAGGCAGTGTGCTTGTTAAGACGGTTAATGTGGAAACAAGCCCTGATCCTTTAAGAAGACTCTCTTATAAATGTGACTCATGTGAGAAGAGTTTAACATCTGTGTCAAGCTATATTAGTAGTGATGGAAGCTATGCAAGAATGAATCCCAATCAATGTAGTGGGTGTGGGAAGTCACTTCTCCATGTTAAGCTTGAGAAAACTCATCCAGTTGATCAGTCTTATGAGTTTAATCAAAATAAGGAACCTGATGCTCTAAATGATGAGAGTGTTTACCAGAAAATTCATATTATGGAGAAACCTTTTGAGTATATTCAATGCCAGAAAGCTTTTCAGACAGAGACAGTTTTCGCTAATCACATGGAGGAAAAACCCTGTAAGTGGAATGAACCTGAAATAGCCTTCCTGCAGATGTCAAACTTAGGTGTCCATCAGCGACCCCATATGGAAATGAAACCTTATGAGTGCAGCGAATGTGGGAAATCGTTCTGTAAAAAATCAAAGTTTATCATCCACCAAAGGACTCACACAGGCGAGAAACCTTTTGTATGTAATCAATGTGGGAAGTCCTTTTGTCAGAAGGGAACCCTCACTGTACATCTACGAACACATACAGGGGAGAAGCCTTATGAATGTAGTGTATGTGGGAAAACTTTCTATCAAAAGTTACACCTCATTCAGCATGAGAGAACCCATTCAGGAGAGAAGCCCTATGAGTGCAACTATTGTGGGAAATCCTTTTGCCAGAAGACTCATCTCACACAACACCAGAGGACCCATTCAGGAGAGAGACCCTATGTGTGTCATTACTGTGCAAAAACTTTCTCCCAGAAGTCAGCACTGAATGATCATCATAAAATCCACACAGGCGTGAAACTTTACAAGTGCAACGAATGTGGGAAATGTTTCTGCCGCAAGTCTACCCTTACTACTCATCAGAGAACACACACAGGAGAAAAACCCTATGAATGTAACGAATGCGGGAAGTTTTTCTCTCGGTTGTCCTATCTCACTGTCCATTATAGAACCCACTCAGGAGAGAAGCCTTATGAATGTAACGAGTGTGGGAAAACCTTCTACCTGAATTCAGCCCTCATGAGACATCAGCGCGTGCACACAGGAGAGAAGCCCTATGAATGTAATGAGTGTGGGAAGCTCTTCTCTCAACTGTCATACCTCAATGTACATCACAGAACTCATTCAGGAGTGAAACCCTATGAATGTAACGAGTGTGGGAAATCCTTCTACCAGAACTCAGCTCTTTGTAGGCATCAGAGAATTCATAAAGGAGAGAAGCCCTATGAATGTTACATCTGTGGAAAGTTCTTCTCTCAGATGTCATACCTCACGATACATCACAGAATTCATTCTGGAGAGAAACCTTATGAATGTAGTGAGTGTGGAAAAACCTTCTGCCAGAATTCAGCCCTTAACAGACACCAGAGAACACACACAGGAGAGAAATCCTATGAATGTTATGAGTGTGGAAAATTTTTTTCTCAGATGTCCTATCTAACCATACACCATCGAATTCATTCGGGAGAGAAACCCTTTGAATGTAATGAATGTGGGAAAGCCTTCTCTCGGATGTCATACCTTACTGTGCACTACAGGACTCATTCAGGAGAGAAACCCTATGAATGTACTGAGTGTGGGAAGAAGTTCTACCACAAGTCAGCTTTCAACAGCCATCAGAGAATCCATAGGAAAGGTGAGAACATCAGTGTGATTGATGTGGAAAGGCTTATCTGAAGTCAGGCTTTATTTTATGCCATAAAACCCTTTCCGTGAAGAGTTCACACATGTGAGTGTGGAAGAGCCTGTGTACATTATTCAGACTTGCTACTGAAAATACAGAATAGAACTCTTCAGCAAGAGCACACAACTCACTGGATACAAGTTGTACAGGAGTCAAAAGATATATAAATATTTATTATGTGTATAAACTTTTGCTGTAAATTAAAGGTATTTAATATATCAGGGAATTCATACCAAGGTGAAATTTCCTAACTTAAGGAATGTGGAAAACTTACTCCCCATTTGGGAATTGTTAAACTGTTTCACATTGCAAATATTTTTTAAAAACAACATGTATATAAAATCCTGGAAAAGCTCTGCTATAAGCAGCTGGTCTCCTTGTAAAACAGAAACTGTAATATCATCAGAATAGTTGACCAAAATGGCAACATTAAACATTCAACTGCAGTTCCTGCAGTAGGGAAAGTGTATTTTCATTTACTTGGTAATTTTAGTATGCTATGTTACAAGAATTTGTATGTTCTGTTGGAAAAGGTGAAGAATATCCTCAATTAGATTGCTAAAAGTATGGTAAAATTTAGCCATTCTGAATGGCAGTACCATGTTAATAACTTCATCTCCATCTTCACATTGAAATTAAAATTGCAGACATAAACTTTTTTAAAAAGACTTTTTTTAGCATTTTTAGGTGTGTTTTGTTATTGTTAATGGGCTGAATCTTCTCTAATGAAGCCAGTGGTTTTTACAATGCTTTCATCTGTATCCAAGCAAAAGATAAATCTATGCATAATATTTAGAAAATATAATTTTAAATGGCTAATTCCAGAAGGTTCCCTCAGTGAGAAACAGCTGTAGTATTCTTTGCACTCTATACAGTTTTCAAATGCACTTAAAATATTCCCATTTTTTTATATTGTTTATTATGTTTTATCTGGATGCCTACATAGAAGTATGCAGAGCACAAATATGACGTGATTTAGGAATTACCTGTATTTTTATTTGGTGTGATAGGCTTTTGAAAATTGTGCATGTTCCTTCCTGTTACTGACCTCATTGCTCAGAAATGAATACAGGCGTGTGGCAGACATGGTCAGGTGACTGACCTAGTCACTCCCTCATTTTCATCTACTGGCAAAGTTTGGGAGTCTGCCTACCTCAGGAGATGAGATAAATCTTGGCTTGTTTTGATCAATAATGAAAACTCCACATTGACTATCAGAGATTAGCTTCATGTGCTCAATGAACCCATGTCTGTACAGATAAAAGGGATATCTTTAGATGATTTCTGAAAAAGTTTTTCTTGAAGATTCAAGGAATCCTGCAGAGTGAATTGGGGTCCTGGCTTTCAGTGAGCCCTTGCGTGCATGTGACAGACCCCTGGTTATGTCTCTCCACAGTGAAGAAGCAGGAGACTGGGAGACCCTGAGACCTGAATGGTGGCAAGGGCCACTGGTTTGACCAGCACTGTAGCTACACCACCTCTGGACTTCTGTGATAGATGAATTAATTTCAAATTGATTTTGTGAAAGCCAGTTGATTGAGTGGGCTCTCTTAGTAACAGCTAAGGACATCCTGTATGATACTAAGTTACAGTCTGTAGAATTTATGCAATTCACAAGTGGACTTTGGGAAAATTATTTTGCACTGTTGATAAGATGATTTTGTCTTCTTTGCTGTATATTTTCATGTAAATATATTGAGCGTTGGAAGTCAACTTGAGACAGTTGTGTATGCTTCAGTGGACTTGCATATTCCTGATTTAAGAAATTAACTTTTGGAATCTGACCTGTCAGGCATAATTTCTTTAATAGTATGTAAAATCTGGTTTAATTTATATTGTTCATTGATCATTACTACAATGTTAGATGACAGTATATTGTTGAAATAAGGATCTAATTTGTTTTGCTTTCAGATGCCTAGATGAAAAGCCTGTATTCGTCAAACAATTTACCTTCTCTACAAGACAAAATGCTGTATTTTTATGTACTAAAACCGCACACAGACCCTGCTTTTGTTCTTAGCCAGTTTTTCCTCTACATTATCCTAGACTACTGTGAATATGCTACGTAACAGGAACTAACTGGTAGGTCTCATTGTGTAAGAGTCCAGTATTCATAACATAGTTATTGTCATATTTATAGAGATGCTGTGTCATTATAGCATAATTCTATAACATGCATTTTAAGTAAAATATTTTTAAAGTGTAAAAGAGCTGCCTCATTCTTTTTCTCCCACATATAACATATAAATGTCTCAGAACTACCTCTTTTTTTTTAATTTTTATTTTATTTTATTATTTTTGTGTGCGTGTACCGTCAAATCAGATCTGACTGGTACAGGAGGAGATTGTCCCTCCTTCCCCGGCAGAGCATCTGGTGGATTCGAACCGTGAACCTCTGGGATTATAGTTGCAGCTCCAGAACTACCTCTTAAACACTGTAGTCTGTATAAAAAATTTTCATATGACCAAACCTCTGAAATTGGGCTCAATACTATATCCTAACTTAAAGGGAATTGTTTTTATTCTACCTTCAAGGTACTTAAAAATAATGATCTCTCTTCAATTTGATGAAATACCCTTTTTGGAAAATATTTGCTATTCCTACAAGAGTGTAAGACACATCTCCATGAAAGAAAGCACTATGGGATGCAGGGTTGGATTCCTTATCCCAGAGCTAGCACTAGAGTAGATGAACCTGAACAGGCACACCTGGTCTTTTGCACGCAGACCTCAGAACTGCAGCTTGAGCATCAGGGACTCTTAAGGTATGGTCCAGAGCTGACCTAGCATTCTTGACCTGGGTGGGGAGACCCCTCACTTGTTGGAGCTGTTTAGTGTTAGTGGTTGCTTCTGTAGTCTCCCAAACGATGCTGTTGTTAGGTGCCCTTGAGTCAAGTGTGACTTGACATACCAATATCATTCTGAGAAGAGCCCATCAAAATTAAATAAACCCACTGCCTTGGCTTGGTTCTAACAAATGCTCCAGTGAAGAGCTGAAGCTATAAATCTTTACAGGACGAGAGAAACCTGTTTTTCTGGTAAGATTCAGACAGCCAACCTTTCAGCAGTCTAGCATGTTACTAGGCCACCAGAGCTCCTTAAAATAAAAGACCTGTAGACTATGAAAGCCTTCAGCTTGATCCTGTAGCCAAAGGCTACCCATCTTGTCTCCAAACAGCAGCTGCTACAGCCAATTTGGTAGAAGGCACCACCAGTATTATAATACTGGAGACCTTCACAGATACATGTTTATATCAGGTATGATGTTGCTGTCATATCAGCTGGTTATAAAGTTCACCTTTTTTTCTTCATCTGATAGTAGACTAAGAAGCTCTGGTAGTATTGTGTCTTCCACGTTACACAGCTAACCAAAAAGTCAATGGTTTGAATCCACCAGCTGCTTTACAGGAAAAAGATTTCTTCTCATTAAGATATTTGCCTGGGAAACCAGTTGGAGTCTTGCTAGGAGTCAGAGTTGACCTAACAGCAGTGAATTGTGAACTTTGATAAAGGCTGATTGACAGCTGTAGAAAGGCTTCAGGCCTTTTGTTCATAGGGTCGCTATAAGTCAACTCAAAGCAGTCAACAATAAAAATACTAGAATATAGCTGTGGTTTATTTTAATCTTGTCACCCTACCCTCTAGAACTGACAATGAAGATCACCTTATGCACAGCTGCCTTGACTTGCTGGAACAACCTGACATCACACCACCACCACCACCAAATATGACTAAAAGAAATCCCTTTCAATAGTCCTGATTGAGCTTTGTAGATGACTCTTACCTAAAACCTGCTCTCCCCAGCTCTTAGTATCAGGTTGGATACACCATCACAACCTCTACTGGGGTTCTTTAAAGTCACCCCCACCCTAAAGGTACCTCCACTCAGCAAGTTAAACTGCTTATCCTTACCAAGTCTGAGCACTGGCCTAAGAAAATCTAACAATAAGCCTGGCTAGTCTCCCCTGAAATTACGATTGTAAAAGTTCAAGCTCACCAGCCTAAAAGGATCCCCTACGCGTAAGAAATTAGATGAAATGCTTCTGCTTCTCCAGTACACAAACAGGAGGCCTTCTTAACTACCAGTCTCTTTAATCAAGGGAATCTTATTTTCCACACCTGACACTGCCAACCTATGTCAGAGCAAATCTAAACTAGTACAACTCAATTTCAACAAATGTTGAAATTTTATAGGAATATTGGTGGGGACAATTTTTGAGGCCTCTGAACCTGTTACCTCTAATTGTCCCACTTGTTCTCATAACCCAAGCAGTTGGGAAAGTTCTCTCTCTTTTCAACCCCAGGTTATACATTTTCATCTAATCCAAGCTATGAATTGTCCCAATGCAACTTAAGATACTTAAGATTGTCCAAAAGAGTTGTTAGTTTAAAGGCTCATTCCTTGGGTTTTTAAATAGGCTTCCTGGCAACTAATATATTAAATATAAGATGCTTGAGTTCAGCAACTAAAAAAATCCCTCTGATCAAACACAGGAGCCAGCAACATTGGAATTAGGACAATTATACATTTAAGTGATAATTTACTTGTATAAGCTATTAAGTCCATCCCTCTGCCACTAAATAAAAGTGAGATTATTTATGTCTCTTTTATTATGTGCTCCTATGTGGAATGTGAAGATAACTCTTCCTTACACTGTATGTCAAGTCCAAACGACAGACCACACGCTAGGGCACTGTCTCATCTGGATGGTCGAGACCTGACAGGGCAATCAATGTATTTTATCCGGGAGGCTCCCTACATGTTCACGTTGATAATAAAACTACTGAGCTGAACATGAACATGAGTCAAGTATGACTCTTGGCCAGAATGCCCCTTGGAGGCAAAGATCTGGAAGCTTCGTCTCACGTCGGGAATGTTGCTAGAAGAGGCTACACCCTGGCGATCATACATTGGGCCAGTGATGTGAAAATATTTTCTAAGTGTAAGTTTGTATTACAGATAGTCCTGTAGCTGACAGACCTGGAGTGTGAGGCTTTCCAGAGGGTATGCCTTTATGGATTGTACACTACAACCTGAAAATTGTGTTTGTCATTGATCCACCACTACGACCTTAATCAGGACAGGGAGGGGTTCAGAACTGCCATGCACAGGGTCATTGTACATGGCAGGTGACCTGATAGCACATAACAATAATATACTATGAGAAGTTTGGAAGCAGGAGTGGCATCCACTTCCTAAACAACATGCCTCTGGAAGCTCTATGAACTTTGATAAATGTCGACAGCTGTAGAGGGGCTTCAGGCCTTTTGTTCATAGGGTCGTTATGAGTCATGCTCAACTCGAAGGCAATCAACAATGACCTTAATCACCAACACTACAGATGGAGTGACTGCCCAACAAAAATCTTTGCAATCTCTTGCCAAAGCAGTCTTGATCTACTTGTTACAGATTTCCTTCTCAATAGGCAGGGTGTGTTATTGTTGATAGTGCCTGCTGCCCCTTGCTAAACACTTGTGGGGACAGAAAAGACAAATATCTACCAGAAGGCTACCCAGCCGCATCAATCCCCCTCTATCTGGGCCTTCCTTTGTTAATGTCTTGAGTTGGCTATCACATTACATGGGTTCTTGGTTATGTTCAGTATTATAAGCTGGACTCTTATATAGACATAATTAAAACTATGCTTTGAAATGCTTATCAAGTATATGTAACTCCACTACAACTTCTTTCATTATGTAAAGAATTATACATTTCAGGGAGCTCTGGTGGCCTAGTGGCAAGAAGCTGCACTGCAATCCCAGAGGAACACGGTTCAAATCCACCAGATGCTCTGCTGGAGAAGGAGGCGCAATATCCTCCTGTACCAGTCAGATCTGATTTGACGGTACACGCACACAAAATAATAAAAATTAAAAAAAGAATTATACATTTCAAAACCACCTTCAGAGGAGAGTGATTTCACTCTTAGAATTAGCCCTTGGAGAAAGTCATTGTTCCTCTAATGTGGCCCTGTTACTAACCTTATAACAGTCTGAGGATGAAACCCAAGAACACAGCAAGGTGAGGGTAAAATACACTTATCACTTACCTGGGAATATTCCAGAATGTTCCAACAAATGTCCCTGTGGAGGAAAGGTTGCTCAAATGTGATGATTGTTGTCAACACCCCGTAGCAGTGGCTGGATCAAAATGAAGGGATCCCAAAGCAAATCCCAAATCCCGAGGTATCTGATACAGCTGAACTGGCTGGCTAAGGTCCAGATTAGCCTCCGTTCCCCTCCCCACCTTGGCCTGTTCCTTCCTTAAACAAAAACCTCACAGCTGAGCTCTTGTAAAACTGTACCTGCTCTTAGCAAATCAGAGTAGGGGTCAGGAATGTGGTTGGACTGTCCAAGGAAACCTCCCAAGGTCTTTCTTGCAAAACCTGCTATTAGAAAAAAAATGTCTATCACACCCCCTGTAAATCCAATTTTGTAGACCTTTTATCCATGATAGCCCCATAATGCCTGCAGGTTAGAAAAACAAGTTCTTTTCAAATACCTGTGGTCTTTCCATTGAAACTTTTGAGGTCTCCTAATAAACTTACTAGGGAGTTCTGGTGGCTTAGTGGTAAGTAAGTAGCTGCACTGTAAGCCACCTGGTTTGAATCCACCAGCTGCTCCACGGGAAAGGATGGGCAATCTCTTCCCGAGAGATTAACTGCCTCTGAAACCTTGCTGGAGAGTCAGCTAGGGCATCTGCGGAAACGTGGAAGTCCTCTCAATACGGTATTGTCCTATTCCACGATCATGAGGGCTAGTTTCCTGACACAAAAAAAGCTTTTAAAAAGTATTTAGTTAGAGAATCTGGTAAGATCTGTGAGTGATTTAGTTTTGGGGATATACTTTGAAGATGACCAGGGCCAACCATCTTTAAATTATGCCTTACATTCTATCCCTTCCTCCCTTTATTTTAAAGGGAAGGATTAGTTACTCTGCTCTGGGACTTCCACGTACCACTAGAAAGGAGCCTTTACTTCACCCTCGACATCCTCCTTTGGGGAAGGTCTTATCTGATCATTAGGATGGAGGAGGTGAGAATAGGAGCCAGCAGGTGAGCACAAAGGCAGGTGCTGGGCTAGGGAACCTGTGCTTCCTCCATCCCTGCTGGCCAGAGCAGATAAACTCTGGATAAACTTTCAGGCCCCCGAGGCCTGGGAGTGGGGAAGGGCTGTGCCCCAGGCCCACATCCAGATCCCCATGGAGACCTGCCCTTGCCTGGACACTGTCAGGCCTAGTGTGTATGTCTCACTAGAGCATGTGGCCGTGTGGAGGGGTTCCAGTAACACTTGGAGGCGGTTAGGAAGATGAAGGCAGAAGGAATCTTGGGCCCAACTCTTGGGCCAGCCTGGCCTTGAGCTGTTAACAGGAACAGCTGAGGCCCCGCAGAAGCCTGCAGGGTCACTCTGGAAGAGCGCAATGACACGGGACCTTCTTTTCTCCATTCTTTATTAAAGCTTGGTCCTCCTGCCCCATCAGCAGGGCGGAAGCAGTTGAACCAAGAGGCGCATGGAGGGCATACACTTTGGGTGTGCTGGGGGTGAGTGCAGGGCCAGCCCTGCCCAGCCCCCTGCCCTTGGCCCCTTCTGAGGAGTTGAGAAACTGGTCAGGTAGAGAGCTGGAAATGCCCGTCGCAGAGGGACATTCCTCACCACTCCCATGGTCTCTGACCCCAGCTCTCACCACCCACCCACACCACAATCTCACCCAGCACCACCACCACCCAGGCCCACTCCCACCCACTGCAACTGAGCCTTCTTCTCCCCGCCCCCAGTCCCAGCAGCTGGGCTCTCAGCCCCCAAGGTCCTGTCTACACTACCACAGAACGAACTAGGTCTAAACAGGAATGTAACTGCTGCAGCTCTGCTCACGGCTCCTGCAAAAAGCAGGGAAGGCGGGGTCTCCCACAACCCCACCTCAGCGGCCTGCCAGTGGTTGGCAGTCCGTTTGGTTTATGCACTGTGGTAAAGGAGGTGCATCAGGAGGACCTGCGCACTCGAGTCTCGGTCTTCCACTCTGTACAGTGGGCATCTAAATGTCATGAGAAAGGCAGAGTGAGGAGACCCTACTGAAGTCGTGGGCCCCGCGTGTGAGGACATGGAGTCAGAGGCTGTGGCCAGCCTCCTGCTTTTAAATTGTTATCAATTCTAAAGAGCCAGGCACAGCCAGGTGGCGCTTTCAGAGGCCACCTGCTTCCTGAGAGTCAGACTGTGCCCCAGCTTCCGGGGTCACAATGCCCAAGGGGCCAGGACAAAACTGGAGTGCCAGCCAATCCCTGGGCCCAAGTGGGGTGAGGAGGACGTGGCTCCAGAGAGTAAGGCTTCAAACTCGCATAGGGCCCTGGAACACCTGCGGCCTATCTGCCAAGGCCAACAATTTGGCTTGTGGCTTTTTCTCCTCCTCCTCGATTTCCCAGGTTACAGCAGAGCGGCCAAAATACTCCCCATAGACAGTGACAAGGCCTCAGTAGCCCTTGTGCCAGTCCCCGGGGAGGAAGAAACATCCTTCTTTCTGGCCTCTGCCAGCCAAATGCCCAGGTCTTAATACTTTGCAGCTCGGTCAAATGACCAGAGGGTCCCTGCCTCCCTCCACTGAGGACATGGACATGGTCAGCCAAGCTCAGTGGTGACCCTCAACCACGCCATCCTCTCCTCCCCGCTAGGCCTTCCCTGTCTCGTTGTAAAACTCATGACCACTGCCATCCACGTCCACGGCATGGCTTCGGCACAGCCCTGGAGAGGCCATAATCCTCAGGGCGGCCGTCCACTGCTCTTCCCCCGCGCCCAGGCTCGTCTCTCTCGGAGCCCCCCCACACCGCTGAACTACATCGGGTGTCTCAGCCTTTTCAGGAGTGCAGCCAGAGGCTGAGGGGTGGGAGCTGAGGGGAAGGCACCGCACGCAGGACTGGGACCTCAGAGTCCCCCATCCCACAATAGTGCCTGGGCTGCCCAGCGGGTGCACCTCGTCGTCCTTCACTGGGTGGTCTCCTCGTAGGCACCTGAGGACCCTGGGAAGGTGGCCGGCTCAGAGCTGAAGCTCGTCCCACCCGCAAACTCCCGCAGGCCACTCCCATGTTCCAGCCCGAGCCCCGAACTCGCTCCTACTGACCCAGTGCCCAGACCCTTGGCCTGCACCTCGGTCTTGGGTGAAGCCGGGGTGGGTGCAGCAGCCAGGCCACGATGTGTCTTCATGTGCGTGAGCAGGTGCGAGCTCTGGGAGAAGCGGCGTCCACAGTGGCCACAGGCGTAGGGCCGCTCGCCCGTGTGCGTGCGCTGGTGCGTGACGAGCACCGAGCGCTGGGAGAAGCGCTTGCCGCACTCGGGGCACGGGAAGGGCCGCTCGCCCGTGTGGCCGCGCCGGTGCTTGGCCAGGTTGGAGCGCTGCGCAAAGCCGCGGCCGCAGTCGGCACAGCGGAAGGGCTTCTCGCCCGTGTGCGTGCGCCGGTGCCGCTTGAAGTCCGAGCTGTGGCCGAAGCCCTTGCCGCAGTCGGGGCAGCGGTGCGGCTTCTCCTCCGCGTGCGCCCACTGGTGCCGCGTCAGCGCCGCGCTCTGCCCGAAGCGCCGTCCGCACTCGCCGCACGCGTAGGGCCGCTCCCCCGTGTGCGCCCGCCCGTGCGCCGTCAGGTGCGCCCTCCGACTGAAGCCCGCGCCGCACACGCCGCACACGAAGGGCTTCTCCCCGGTGTGGCCGCGCACGTGCGCTGCTAGGTGCGAGCCGCGGGCAAAGCGGGCGCCACACTCGGGGCAGGGGAAGGGCCGCTCGCCCGTGTGCGTGCGCCGGTGGCGCGCCAGGTGCGAGCCGTACACGAAGCTCTTTCCGCAGTCGGCGCAGCGGTGCGGCCGCTCACCTGCGTGGTAGCGCTGGTGCTTGGCCAGCGCCGCGCGGCGTCCGAAAGTCTTCCCACAGTCGGAGCAGATCCATGGGGTCTCCTCCTCTGGCAGAGTGGCGGGGGCCGGCTCGGCCAGAAGACCCCCCACAGCCGGTCCAAAGGCGCGCACGCTGCCCCCGGGGCGGCCGCCCCCACCGAAGGGATCACAGGCCAACCCGGTGCCCTCCACCAGGGAGAGCGGACCTCCCAGACCCGGGAGCCTGCGCACATCAGCCGGCAGCCGCTCCCTTAAGTCTGGAAGGCCCAGCATAGGGAAGGTGTCGGGGTTCAGCCAGGACTTGGGGTGCATGGGAAAGGGGAATCCGAGCGGGTGGGAGGACGGGCCCTCACCCCCGCCAAGGCCATTGCCCAGCTCCAGGGCTCGGGTCACCGGCTCTGTGGTCTCCTTGTGCTCGGGGCTGCCCGGTGGCTCTGGAGCCTCCGGTGCCTTGCTGTCCTGGTCAGCCTCGCCTGGCCCAGGTCCCTCAGGCTCGGCTTCGGCTTCAGCCTCGGTCTCCTCGGGTCCTCCCGCCTCCCCAGGCTCCGGCCGCAGACCCTCAGTTCCGGGCTCTGCACAGGCACCTCCTCGCCGGTGGCGCTGGAAGTCGGCGCGGAGGCGAAAGGTCTGGCCACAGTCTGGGCAGCAGTGCGGCCGGTCAGCCGTATGCACCGCCTGGTGCCGCGCGAGCGCTGAGCTCTGGCTGAAGCTGCGGCCGCAGTGTGGACACGGGTAGGGCCGCTCGCCCGTGTGCGTGCGCTGGTGCGTGACCAGGTAGGAGCGGCGCCCGAAGCCTGCGCCGCAAAAGGCGCAGCGGTAGGGCCGCTCGCCCGTGTGGATGCGTCGGTGAGTCACCAGGTGGGATTTGTAGACGAAGCGCTTGCCGCAGTCCGGGCACGGGAAGGGCTTCTCGCCCGTGTGAGTGCGCTGGTGGATGGCCAGGTGCGAGCGGTACACGAAGCCCTTGCCGCACTCTTCACAGCCGAACGGCTTGACGGCGGCGTGGTAGCGCTGGTGCTTGGCCAGCCGTGAGCGGTGGGGGAACACCTTGCCGCACACGTCGCAGGTGGCCTCGGCTTGCTCATCTGCAGCACCCGCTCCCGCCGAGAACGCCCAGGGCACCAGCAGGTTGGCACCTGGCTCACGGCCAGCCAAGAAGGGCTTTGCCTCGGTCCCATCGGCCAGGATCCCGATGCTGGCAGGGTCGGGCTCCCACCCCTCCAACGTCTGTGCTGAGTCCGAGTCATCAGGTCCCCAGGTCCCGGGCACGTCTCCCACGCCGTAAGCCGCTGACCACAACCCAGGGGGTTCGTTCTCCTCCTCGGCCACCTCCGCCAGGAAGTCCTCATCATCTTCCTCTTCGTGGTCATCCATGTCGTCGGTCCAGTACCAGGCTCCTGAAAGAGACAAGGGATGAGGCCAGGAAAGAGAGGTGAGTGGACAGGCCCTACCAAACTTCCAAGGGGCCCTAGCTGTCCCCCCACTGAGGTCTTCACTGCCTGACCCATGTGGGCCAGGGACAGTAGGGCCACCGCCTTCCCGAGCTCTGTGGACAGAGGAGGTGTCAGTGCAGAAGGTCAGTGGATGCCCCCTCCCCCACAGGAAGGCTGGGGGTCATTTACTCACTGGCCTGTAGGGCTGCTCCCTCCCCCCATGATCTGCATCTTCCTGGAAGGTGGACACTTTTCAAAGTGGGTGAGCTTGCCTGCAAGCTCCTGGGAGGCATGAAGCTACTGGGTTCTGTACCCAGAAAAAAGGACCCCAAAGCCCCTTGTTTCCTGCAGGGCCTCCTGGGGCAGCACGCTGAGCCTCAAGTGTCCAGTGAGGCTCACAAGCTTAGCTCCGTATCTTGCCCTTGGAGGGTCTTCTCAGCCAGCATGGGTCGGCCAGCAGCTAGGGGGTCATGGAAGGGGCACAGGAGTGGGGTGGATGGGGATGCCCCAGGCTGAGGAGACCTAGGTGCAAGCAGTCCAGCGCCCAAATGTGCGCTTCCCAAACGTGCATGTGACACTGGGGTTATTATTCTCCCTTCAAACCTGGAACTGAAGTCTCTCCATCCCCACTTGCCTACTCCCCATGACTTCCAGCCAAATGACAGGCCTATAAAATGAGCGGTAACCCCAGGGAGACACACACTCTTTAAAATAATCAACTATACAAGATCAATAGTGTGGCGTTTTCCCAAGGAGGAAGTGCAGGGGGGGTGAAGACAATGGGACACTTTGAACGGAAGCAGGAAACACAGGGATGAAGTGGAAAGAGTGCTGTTACACAGAGGAGTCAGTCAATAGCATGAAAGAAGGTGGGCGTGAATGGCTGAGTGGGAAAGCACTTTACTCTGTAAACTGTGACTCAATACAAGTAAATGAACAGGATGCACATGAGCCCTTACAACCCGGGTGCCTCCCCAGGCTAGTGCTCAGCCTGATGCTGTCAGATCTGCACCCACAGAGATCCCACAGCAGCCACGACCATGGGGCCTGCCAGCCCCTCTCCTGCTGCCCTGGCCAGCTTCCCGGAGCAGCACCTGCTGGTTCCCTTCTGTCCCCGTCAAGGGGCTGTGCAGGGCATGGCTGGGAAGTCTGTCCTATTCGCTCATCTGTAAAATGGGTGCTGACTCAGAGGTGCTGGGGTCCATGTGTTGAACAGTAATAAACTAATGACAAACTAGGAGGAATATGGATGGGGTCATGATACTGATGGGAGGGGACTGAATGTCCCTAGCACAGCCACCACAGCAACCATGACGGACAGTATGGCCTGCTCCAGGGGTGGTCCCACTGTTCCCATCCTCACCTGCCTGTCCTTAGGAGCACTTTGTGCTGTGTCCAAGCTCATGAAGCCAGCAGCTGGAAAGGTCACACCCCCACACTGGGTGAGAAATCCCTTCCTCAAGGCTCTCGCTGTGTCAGGACACTCGCTGGTGATGCCAGTACCACTGGCTGCTACTCAGGTTAAGAAGGGCCCCACCTCAGGCCTCCACCTGCCCTGGTCTATCTGGTGTCCACCAACAAGAATCTCAAGCCCACAGCTGTCAGTCAGTCCGGCCTTGGAGCGTCCCATGTGGACAGAGGAGAACTGCTTAAAGGCTCTGCAGTCTTTAGGGAAGCAGACTGCCTTATCTTTCTCCTGGGGGGTGGCCAGTGGGTTTGAACCACTGATTTTTTGGAGAGCAGCTGAATTCTTTAACCACTGTGCCACATGGATCTGTGCATAACACAGAGGTGCGTGACATAAAGCCAGCTTCACAATTCCACAGGGAGGAACAGGCTGTTTCACTGCTCATACTTTGCAACAGTTTCTAGGTTTTCTAGAATTAGAAATGTTATGCCATGAGAGTCAAAGTGAAGTTCAGAAGGAAGAGAAAACTGTTCTGTAATTAAGACTACCTGAAACTCCTGCGCTAAGGTGTGTCAGGGCTCTGAGTGGCTCTGCCCCTATGGGACACAGGGACAAGGCCAACGTCCATCCTCCGAGCACCCACCTGGTTGTAACTGACAGCGAGACTCCCCAGATCTGGGGAGCTGGGAGAACCTCACGGGCAAGGATAAACTGGTCCCCGGGGACATGATTGGGACAGCATCCATGAGTCTCAAGGTGGCTTTGCCCTTGACACTGAGGAGGGCTCCCTGAGTCAGGTTTAATTAGAGGTCTGCCCCGTCCAAGGCAGGCAGGAGGAGACTGACAGCAGGGTCTCGGGAGCTGTGTCTGAACCACCCTGCCCCAGACCTGGCCAGAGGCCCAGAAGGCCAAGCTGGCTGCACCCTGAGAAAACTCTAGGAAGCAGCAAAGGCACTGGAGATCTCACAAGAACCCCCAGGAACCCTGGACTCTGTCCACTTCTTCCCTGCTGATAGCATGGCCCAGTCTGGAGAGGGGACGCCAGTGTCACCATTGACATGGGCTGTCCCAGAGTGTGAGGAAGGTTCAGAGGGTGTTTGCTGCTCTGAGATCGGATCCAAGCCATCTTTTGGGTCTTAGTTCTGGTCAGAGGTCCCTTGGCCAGAAAGCACAGGATGGGGCCAGTGTGGGCAGGTGGGGTGCCTATCCTTTTCCAGTGGCTGGGGCGGGTGAAGTAGGCAATGTAAGAGGTTTCCCTGAAATATCTGCGACAAAGGACTCAACCTGGGAGGTGACTGATCTGGGCCCTCAGAAGACTCTGCTGACCTGCAGGGGCTTCTGGGTGGAAGGCAGAAGTGGGGACCAGGCAGCCTCTGGGGAGGGGCCTTGTCAGGCCGGGTGGTGGGGACATTTTATTGGCCACATGTTCTAAATTGGGGCAAGTGAGATTCTGATGGGCAGAAGTTTCTGGCCCTTCACGATGGTCAGTACCAGGGGCTGGTGGAGGGCGTCCACAGAAGCTGGTGGGAAGCCAGCCAGGGGCAAGGCTCTTCTGGGCCACTACGACAGGCACCCTCAGAAAAGGGAGGGACCCTGCACCTTAAGCCAGGTTAGAACAAGGAAGGTGGGAGAGGCAGGATCAGAAGAAGGAAGGAGTTAGGCAGCCTGGCTGGGGACCTGGCGAGGGGACAGGGGCGCTGAATGGAAGGAGCCATCAGGTCGATTCAGGAGGTGGCAGGCACCAGGGGAGGTGGTCACGGCCAGATTTCCAGAGTCCTGTGGGGCCTAACTTGTCAAGAAACACAAGCGAGGTCCTCAGGGCCCACTAGGATCTTGCAAAACCACAGCAATGCGACCCGGGCTGGGACAGTGTCCTGCTTCCCCGAGGACTACAGAAAGAGGAGGCCAGAGGTCACCAGGCCCACAACAGGAGCAGCTGCACCCGGGAGGAGCGCCCGCCTTAGAACAATCCAGCACAGAGCCCACTTGGGCGGCATCTGTCCAGGGAGGGCTGGGAAGGCCGGGAGGAAGGACAAATGGAAACTGGAATCACAAGGAGGGTGTGGAAAGGTGTAGGACATGCTGAGGACTACAGTGTGACAGACCCTCACACGGCCCGTCAGACCCTCACACGGCCTCTCAGACCCTCACACAGCCCCGTCACAGACCCTCACATGACCTGTCAGACCCTCAAACGGCCCATCACAGACCCTCACA